CTGAAACCCTGAGTCTGTCATTTAGAACAAATGTTTCTCCACAGACGCCTGCTGCCTGAGTTCTGCAAGTTCTGATCTGTGGCTTGACTTCATCTACACTCCTGAGCCAGGGGAACACCCCCTCTGGGGGACAGAGACTGCCCCCTGCCAGTCTCTGTGCCAGCCTCTGGCCTCACTGCCACTCCCCATGCAGGGTGGAATCCAGGGACATAACAGAGCCCCCGGTGTCCTGGTCATCATCCTTGGGCCCCGGGTTCTGGGAGCAGTGGGTGAGGGTCAGCCTGCACAGCTGCCATGATGGGAGGCAAGAGGCGGAGGCAGGTGGACGAGCCCCTCGGCCCTGAGCCCACCCTGATGGCAGGAGGCCAGGCTGGCCCTGCTTCTCCATTTCCCCACTGGTGTCTCCCCGGAGTCTTGTCTCCCCTGCAGGCTGCAGAGGGAGGACAGCTGCTAGGAGCGCAGGCCCCAGACACAGGCCGCATGCCCTAGGGCTGAGAGCTTGGGACTGTAAAGTTATCTTGATTGTACAAACCAGACCCTTGGCTGTGTTGAAAACACAATCGTAGAGGAAGGCAGAGCCTCCTCCTGCCCTGGGGACCACCACCCAGGTCACTTGGCCCTGTCCTCCAAGTCCTTCCTGAGGACTCTCGGGCTGCCTCTTCCCAGGATGCTCTGAACCCGTTTAAAGGCCAGTCGCTGCCCAGCCTGACTGCTCCCAGGCATCCTGCAGCTCTCGGCAGCCTTGGCAGTGAGTCTCTCTCCAAGGCAGGAACTCATCTTAGAAGCCAACTCGCCTCTTGACCTCTCAGAGCGACTGCTAGAGCAACGAGTCTTTGTTTCATTGGGCAGAGTCGGGGTCTCCCCATCTGGTCAGCAGTCGCTGGGACGGGGGCGAGGGGCCACTCTCCACAGTCATTGGGTTGCGTGCTGGGCGCTCTGCTTTCCACTGCTCTTCTCCCTGCTGGACTTGCCGATGGCCTCTGTCTGGGTTGGCTCTTGGTCCCTGTCTTCCCTGCTTCTCCTTTAAATCGGTGCTGCCTGGGAGCTCCTCAGGTTCTGGGTCTGTGTTGGGCGGAGCGGCATGAACACGTCTGTGGGGGCAGACGCCCCATCTGTGTGGTCCCGTTGTACTGCTTCTCCATGTTGAAGTCTGAACATCAGAGAAGCACGCAGAGGTCAGCATGTGACGCAGGGCTTCTGTAAAAAGGGGCCACATAGATTTCTCCAGGGAGCGAGAAGGGGCCACAGCCGGTGTCCTGGTGTCCCGAGAACGAGGTGTTCTGCCCTTTTTAGGTGAGGTCTTCTGTCCTAGGGCTCCTTGTTCTCCTGCCTCCCCCAGTCTTTCTCCTTCCTGCTCACGTGACCAGGCCCGGGAAGGCTTGGTGTGGCCAAAGGTGGGAACTGGTGGGCTGCAGGGGATGGGCAGGTGGAGTAGACAGGGACACAGTCACCACCTCACAGCTCCCTGGAGGGAGGGGGAATTCCTGGGACAGGTCACCTTGGCGACAGGTTGGAGCAGGGGCAGTTCTGGATAAGATCCCYCAGGGGACAGTCTCCAACTTCCCAGACTCACTCGGATCGGCCTCCGAGATCACCTGACGTGATGTACCTCTCTACCTGACTGCCTGTCTGGTTCTAGCTTCAGTCTGTCCTGATGGAAGGTCTGAATGACCTGTTTTGAACCGGGGGGTGGTGGGCCACGGCACTGGTGCAGAAACTGGAGCCCTGTGCCGTGTGGCGGGTGGGTGGGCCACCCCACTCGGGAAGGGGAGTGGCCCCTCCCCAGAGGCTTGGCGGCTAGGCCAGAGTGGGCCAGGTGAGTCTGGACTCGGATGCCCTGGGTAGTGGCAGGACGTCCTGGAGATGACCTTGAATTCTGGGGCAGCAGGGCCTATGGTCCCTGCTTCCCCCGGCCTTGACTTGCTCCTGGGTCCCAGCCCTTCCGTGCCGGGGGAAGGACCAGAGTGACGCGCAGAGAGCAGGGACACGGTGGGGCTTCCTTCACCAGACTAGGCATGAGCTTGGCATGAGGGCAGGGGGAGAGCTGGGACCCCACCCACAGGGACTCCCTGTGCCTCTCGGAGGCTGATGCTGGCGGGGCTGGTGGAGGCCTGTGGGGAGCTTCCTGGCCATGGTGCCAGGAGCTCAGGGGCAGCCAGCAGTGGGCCCAGAGTGGGTGGGAAAGGGTGTGAGGCCGCTGCACTCTCTGGTGTGGACCCCGAGGGCAYGGCCCCTGCCCTGTGAACCCTGTGTTTAGACATCCCTCCCCCAGGCTCCGCACAGGAGGCTGAGACTCAGCTGGAGGCAGACTTTCTCAGAGAGGGGGGTCTCAGCAGGGCAGGGGTCCGACTGCTCCTGCCTGCAGGCACCCAAGCAGTGCCCTGGAAGGTGAGACTCCGTTCTCGGGAGCTGGCTCGGCAGCCCGCCCTCGCCCGACAGCCGGGAGCCCTCCTTGTCCCTGGGAACAGGAAAGCTGGGAGCCACACTGTTTTGCCAGCCCGAGGCCTTCAGAACTCAGAACTGAGGAAAAATTGCTTGCAAAGAATGTTTGCTTTAGATCTACATGTGTCTCATTGCTGTGTCCAACGATGGCTTGAGTTTATGAGGCCCACATCCAGTCTATGTAGTCACGAGATTGTGCTTTATAAGTGACCTTCTGAGGAGGTCAGAGAAAGGTAACAGATACTTGTCACACCTGGTGACAGTGGCTGCTACCTCAAGTGGCYGGTCCACTGCCTCTGGACAGTCAGCCCCTCTGTTGGGGGGGAGACCAGCCTTCAGCCTGTGGGAAGTGGCATCTTGAGTAGGTCCAGGTGTTCCCAGGACTCTTGTTACTTGTGAACAGACATATCTATCTTACTTGTATCTGCTACTCATGCACCACATGTGGTCAAGTGTAGTAAGAAGAATGGACAGCAGCACAGGGCCCCTTCTGGGGCATAGTGTTGGCAGAGAGTCAAGCCCCCTGGGACCCCTGTGGTGCCCACTTGCAGGGGGCGGGGCTTCATGGTGCGGGCAGGGCAGGGGCTGCGTCAGGAGCCTGGGGCTCAGAGGGGCTCCTGATTTAATTATGCAGATATCCATATCACTGGGAACAACCCAAGGTTCAACAACAGAGCACCGACCATTATTGTAAATAGCGAGTGTCACTGAGAACTTGTAAGTCACCTTCACGTAATGAGGCTGTTCTCCATCAAAATGCCAAAATGCTCACCAAGTGAAGAAAAGCCAGTTACACCGTGGCACGTGCCGTTTAGTGAACAGAGGCATCTCTCTGGTAGAGGTACGGGTCTCCCCCAGCTGCAGTGTGACAAGTGGCCTTATGTGCCTGAGGGTGGTGGCCTCAGATGTTTCCCTCAGCGTGGACCAAGTGGGCCTCGGCACCTGCTCAGTGCTCCCTGAGACTTTTAAAAGACAGATGAAGTCTAAGGCGAGTTTGAAGTTTGCCGTTATGATCCGTCCTGAGCTCAGGCCTTCAGCAGCGCTGACCACACTGGTCAGTGTTCTGGTGGTACAGAGCTGGGCACGGTTAGACCCCAGGAGGGCAGCAGACGGGTGGCTGCCCACCTCTCTCCAGTCCGGGCCTCATCTCTGAACCAAGGTGCAGGTTTGCATTTTTTTTTGTTTGTTTTGTTTTGTTTTTGGTGAGCTGCCAAATTCATGCTGAAAATTTCCAACCAAACCAACACCCTTAACTGTCTGTAGTACAGTATTGATTCTGTAAGCCCCTGACGGTGAGCTGTTCACACACGGCGTGTAAACGTGCTCACAGAGCCCTGCTCACGTCGGAGTTGGGGAGGGTCCAGAAGCCTTCACCTTTGGGAAGCCCCTGCCTTTCCCAGGGCAGCCTGGCGCACCCCTCCCCCTCCTGCCTACCCCCCCCCCATGTGTGTGTGTCTGTCTGTCTGTCCTTCCTCTGTGTCTGTCACCCTCTCTCTCTTGTTTTAGTTTCCTGGGAGGTGGGTGTAGCCCATTTCTTTTCCCTGAGAATGTCTTGGCTTTCTGTAGCCAGAGGCCATCTTTCTGTTTAGATCGCAGCTTGCTCGTGCACATGTGCATGACACAAGTAGAGCTGGTGCCCTGGACAGGGGCTGAGGGGTACCCTGTGGGCAGCGCACCCTTTGCATGCTCGGTGCCCAGCACCTGTGCYGAGTGCTGCTCAGGGTGCAGGGGTGATCGCCAGCGAATCCTCCTGCACTAAGAATCTGTGGGCCTCTCCGCTGGCCAGAGCCGCCCGCCTCCCCAGCAGCAGGTGCTCTGCCCCGAGCTCCCCACGGACCGGGGAGCCACCTGGCCCAGGAGGCCCTCTCCGCTCCTGGCCGAGCTCTGCTGAGCCACTCTTCCTTCCGCCCAGCAGCCTGCTGGAAACGGCGGAAACAGGGCACATGACGTGATCCCCCGACACAGGAAACAGCCGCCAGCCTGGCCACAAGCTGCCGAAGGCATCACAGTGCTTCCCGCGTCAGGGCGGTGCCTGACTGCTGTCGCCTTCCCCTGAAGCCTCCGAGGCCATCGCGGCCCTGGCTCAGGTGGTGGGTGGGGTCTCTGTCTGGGCTCCAGATGCTCGGTGTGCCTGTTGCCCTGAATTTCAGGGTCACATTCCTGTCGTGGTGGCCCAGGCTGCGCCCACATGGTGACAAACACAGTGTTCCTTCCTGAGCTTCCAGGACATCTCACAGCACATTAGACTCTGGTCACAGGGCAGCACCAGGCAGGAGCAGGGAGGATGCAGCGGGCAGTGCAATCTGTCCCCATCCTGGGTCTGCTGGCAGTCATCTGTGATGTGGTGGTCCCCAGGAAGTGCCCTGGGGCCCCAGAGAGGCTAGGGTGCTTCACCTCGGCTGTGTGTCCTCATGTGCCAGGCTCGTGCCTCTCTGGTCTCCAGGCTSTCAGTGCGCAGGACCCTCTGTTATCAGGAGTGTCACACAGCTCTTGCTGGTGGTGGTGGTGACACTGACTGGTTCCCTGTGTGGTAACCGACCGCCTCTGCTCCTTTTCAGCCCGTCTCTGCCTGCCCTTGACTGGCAGCTGCCATCCCACTCGGGCCCGTATGAGCTGCGGATTGAGGTGCAGCCCAAGTCCCACCACAGAGCTCACTATGAGACGGAAGGCAGCCGGGGGGCTGTGAAGGCGTCGGCCGGAGGACACCCCATTGTACAGGTATGGCTCGGTGCGGGCTTTGGTGCTCCTGCCTCCAGCGGGCAGCCTTGGGACAGCTGCTGACCCGGCTTTTCCCCCTCGGGCTTTAGAAAACGATGGCCTCCCAACCAGTTCTGCTGGATTTCACGTATAGTAAGTGGAGAAGTCCCATCGTCTCCTCAGTGTAGATGCCCTTGACTTATGTGGCCTTGTGTCCCAATAAGCCCCTGGTAAATGAAATACTGAAAGTCAAAGTGCACCTACCTCCCCCACCTCCCGGCCCAGCCCCCCTGACGGCAGGCTGACCGTGCCGCGCCTGCGGCTGGCGCCCAGCACTGCGGCTGGGGAGGAGAACCTGTGCTGCCTTGAGGAGGGGAGACCCGGGCCCAGCCCTGTGCTCCGAGCCGCACAGGGAGCTGCTTGACGGTGTGCCCAGCAGACATCTGCATGCGCTTGGACACAGGGGTGGTGACTTCCATGGTTCTGCTCGCTCCTTGCTGAAGGCCTTGGCCTGCAGCAGGATTCTGCAGAAGGGCCTGTCACCTCCTCACCTGGCTTTTTGTTGGCGATGCAGGTGCTGGGCTGCTGGCCCTGGACCCAGGGAGACTGTTCTCACCCGCCTGCTGGGCCACATCTGAGGGAGCTGGCGAGGGGACAACCTGTAGCAGGGTCCCTGCAGGGCCAGGCTCTCCCTGTGTGGCTCTGGTGGCACTTCCTTGCCTGATTAACATCTTGGCAAAGGAAGCATCCAGTTGCCACAGACTTAGAGTGTCCAGCAGTGACAGCCAGGGAGGCATGTGGTGGCCAAGAGGGACGGTGTGAGACCCAAGCTAGTCTCTCCTCTGCTGGACATTGATTGCATCCTGGTGGCTGTGGAGGGGCCAGCACCCCCCCAGCTGTGCCTGTGTGCTCAGAGGCTCAGCACTCAGGGTGCTGCTGCTGCCGGACAGGACATCTCCCGGGCTCCAGCCACTCGGAGCCTTGGAGAGCCTTTTTCTCCAGTGCCCCAACCTCACAAAGCATCACAAATTCCCTATGATTTGGGGAATGATGCAAGCCAGAGGGGGAGCTCGGTAGGCACCCTGTATTTCTATTTTATTCCATTTAGGTAAATAAAAAGCCTGCGAGGGCAGGAGCACGTGGAGACAAATGGCTGTTTGCCAACGCGGCAATCAACCGCCTGGAATTAGCGGGCAAGGCGCAGAAGCAAAGCACTTTAGCCGTGCTCACAGATGGTGTTAAGGTGATATTTGTGGCCCGTGTGCTTGATGCCAATTAATACCCACTCTGTTAGCTGYTTGATGTGAGAAAATGCAGGAGACATCAGCACACAGCAGCCGGCTGACATTTTAAGCCTCCACCTTCTCAGGTGGAAGCAGGTCAGATAATGCGCGTGTTCAGTTGTGCTAAATAACGACAGGCATTTACCTCCCTGTCTGGCTACGTTTTCACTGAATGAAAGTGCATTATTGCTGAATGGAAAAGATATTTAAAAGGAGAGGAAATGAGTCTGTTAGAGGAGGAGGCCTGGAGACCAGCAGTGGAGAAACAATGGCTGAGCACCCCATTTGTTCTAAATCATATCAGTGAGGGGCACTGGCCGAGAGCTGAGGGGGCAGTGGCCACGGAGCTGGGGGACGTGAGCCTGAGCTCGGTGTGAAGGCAGAGTGTCAGGTCAGAGCTTGCTGTTCACGGCATTGATGGTGGTGGTCCTGATGCTGTTCTTTGGAGGATGAAATGTGGGTGGGGTGGAGCGCTCACGGACCCCTTCCCATGTCTGCTAAGGGCTCTAGAGGTGCTTGGCTGCACGGCACGCACACCATGCTACTGCCAGCACCCAGGCAGCGGCTCCCAGGCTGTCCACCGGCCCCAGCTACCATCATGGACAATGTTGAGCCACTGAGACATTTGGAAGGATTGTGAAATCGAAACGGTCATTTAAAGTGTCTTTAAAGTGAATCCTCACAATTATCTAAAACTAATTGTGCATGTTGGTGGAGAGCGGCAAATCAGGGCAGGCTGGTGGTGTTTCAGCACTTGGTCCCCCAGCCCCTGCAACCTGAAGAAAAGGAAATGCCGGCTCTGTTGGTGTTTCTCATGGTGACAAATCGGTGCTGGGAGAGCTTTCTGTGTGCCCTGCAGAGTGAACCCACATCTGTGCGGGCCTGGGGCAAGCAGCAAGAGATGGGAGTTGGGGGCTTTGTTTTCTTTCTTGGTTGGTGGACCACAAATTGGGTAAAAATAGAGTTTGTACATAATTACAAAACATACTAAAATAGAAAACTCTCTGTTGCCATGAACRCTCGGTAACCACAGTTTCCTTCTGTCCTGTTGAGTTGTTTTGGCACATCCCTCAGCACTGCAGCCCTGACCCTCAGCCTCCTCTGGCTCTCAGAGCTGGGTACGCAGCACTGTGGCCACAGATCCCATGTTGGGGCACGGCAGCCCGTAAGCCATCTCGTGGTCAGTGGTCACCTCTGCTGCTGTGACCATTCAGATCCACCACGCACATGGGCACCTTTGCCTATTAAAAATTCTGCTCCCTTCTGTGGATACTCCAATCTTTCTTTCTTTATGTTTTAAAAAATCTGTCCATAAAAACCAAAGCCAATGATTGCAGAATGCAAACCCCCGGCAGAGCCCGAGAGGGGACAGGAGAAGAGCAGAGGGGGACCCTGTCTCTGGTGCCAGGGCAGTGTGGACGTGGCTCACCCCAGCATCCTCACCCGACTGCAGGAGGCCAGACGCTCAGCCCCACCCGGTGGGGCCAGAGGTGGCAGTGCTTCAGACAGGGCAGGGCCCTGCACCTGGCCTCACCGAGGTTCCTGGAGCCCTGGGGGTGCGAGTGCAGGACCCTCCCTTAGTCTAGGGGCCTTCCTGTGGAACTGTGCCACGCTCACAGGGTTGAGCCCCTCTCCAGGGACTGCATCACTCCTGTCCTCCCATGGACATGTCCTTGTAGCCATCTAGCAGCCGCTGGCTGTGGGAGGAGAGGCCCTGGGTCTGCCTGGCCCTGGGCCAGGGCGGTGAGCAGGCTGCAGAGCTGCCTCCAGGGCACAGGTGGGTCCTGCCTCTGCCACGGCCTGAAGCCCGAGAGGGAGGGCTGTGGGGGAGGGCTGTGGGCTCTCTGCACCTTCAACAGGCCTTTTCCTCCACAAAGAAGACGCCTGGTTCAGGCCATCCAGAAGGACTGTCTGGGACTCTGGACGAACCTGAGGGACCTCCTGTCTTGGGCTAGCCTCTGGTTGTCAKTTCTCCTTGTCTGTCCCGGCTGCAGTGAGAGGAGCTGAGGAACCCCAGCTCTCCTGAGGTTGCGTCCTAGGGAGCACGTCCTAGAGGCCTGTGGAGGTCTGGGGCCTCAGGTAGAGCTCTGCCTGGAGGGAGTCCACTGACCTGGACCCACAGAATCCAGCTCCGTTTACCAATCACCAGAATAGCTTGCTGATAGCATCTGGCCTGCCCGGGAGGCTGCTGTGCCTGAATAATTAACCACTCGAGTGCCAAGCACCCAGGACCTGGCATTTGGGTTTATAGTTTATAGCTCCTCGGTTGACAGTGGCCCATAGCTCCTGCCTGACCCCTGAGGGTTTGAATCAGCCACAGAGCTGGGCACAGCGGTTCCTGCCTGTGATCCCAGTGTCTCTAGAGGCTGAGGCAGGAGGACCACAAGGTCCAGACCAGCCTGGGCCACTTAGCAAGACCCTGTCTCAAAATAAAAAATAAAAAGGGCTGGGTGCAGCTCAGTGGTAGAACACCCTGGGATCAATCCCCAGCACCAACAAAACAAAGATATCAGCAGCAGGCCAGGCTAGGGCAGGGTGGCGGGCAGAGACCCTGGGAGTTCTCATCTGTGGGTGTGAGGTGTGCACTCGGGGTAGGCACAGCAGGATGGGGTGCTGAGGATCGGGGAGCGCTGGGCGTTGGGCAAGGTGTCGGGGACCAGGCAGAGGGGTCCTGCTGGTGCCCCGAGCGTCGGGGATGGGTGGGGCCAGCCAGGCCCTCGTGGTCCTGGGAAATTTCCTCAGGCTTCTTGGTTTTACGGCCAGTTTTGCCCCCACAGGCCCAGGGCAGACTCTTTCCCTGTCATACAAGAAGCCCAGCAGCAGACCATCAAGGGGGAGGCCCCCAGGAGGCCCCTTGTTCTTGGATCGGTGACTTTGGCGTCTGAGTCGGGTGACTCTCAGTCACGGCATGGCAGGCAGCGCCTTTCCCTAGGCCCAGAGGGTCAGCAGGCCAGCATCGCAGGAGCAGGCTCCCGAGTGCTCCCTGTCGGTCAGTGGCCAGGGCCTGCTCTACCTGAGCCTCGCTCCGCTTCTCTCAGGTGTCTCTGTGCGCCAGACAGGACTAGTGAGCCAGGGCTTCACAAGGGCCCAGGGTGCAGGCCGGGAGCCAGGGGCCAGCCCACCCTGGGGGATCCCCAGCTGAGGTGCCCTGGGGACAGGAAGACGCAGCCTCACCCTGCTGTGGGCAAGCCTGCGGCCGGCACAGCAAGTGGGTTGGTTCTGTGGACTGGGCTCAGCCCCTGGATGGCTCTCCTCTTTCAGGAGGTTCAGGGTGAGTGTAGCACCCTCCCGCCCCCCACGGGCACAAAGTCAAGGGTTCTTAGAGGTGCCTTGGTCCCCTCTGCCCACACCGCTCAGTACCAGTGTTGGATCGTACCCACGAACACGGACAGATACCCAAAAGTGCTGTGAGGAAGGCCCTGGCCACCCCCAAATGCATGGTTCCCTGTCATGCTCCTCCCAGGAGCAAAGCCACAGTGTCCCACAGCAGTGCACCAGGTGCCAGGGACGGTCCAGTGGCAGCTCTCACCAAGTCCATGCCATCACCACGGGCAGCAGGTGGGAAGGCAGGTGGTCCGGAGGGCTCCCAGCACGGCTTCCAGACACACCTTGTCCCAGAGGGGGTGTGGAGCTGAGCTGAGGTCCTCATTGCCAGAACCACGCAGAGCTGGGCACGGAGCCCCGTCCAGAGCGTGGGTCCCCAGCCCAAGTCCTCAGCCAGACCTCCAACTCTGGAGC